CACAGCAACCTTAATTCTTGGAGTTAAGTGATCCTCTTGCCTCAGTCTGCCGAGTAGCCGAGTAGGTGGGACTACAGGTGCCCACCACAACGCCCAGCCACTTTTTTTTTTTTTTTTTTTTTGGTTACTGTCATTGTTGTTTAGCAGGCCCTGGCCAGGTTCAAACCCACCAGCCCTGGTGTATGTGGCTGGCACCTTAACCACTGAGTTACAGGTGCCAAGCTGGAGGAATCGATTTAAAAAAACTAAATTATGAGGCACTTAGAACTCAAAAATGCAATTTGTTAGCTTATAAAAGCTAACCACCTCTCACAGGCCCATAAAAGCTTAGAATCAACAGAAATCAACATAAAATTTAATGTCCCTTACATAAACTCTTCAGAGCCAGACTGTTTCAGAATTTGGGGGGTTTTATTTTTTAGGTGGGTGTGTATGTGGTATTTTCTATAGTTTTCCCATGCTTTAGCAAAACAGTATTTTTGTAGTAAAATATATGACTTTATACTAAGTAAAATAAATAAAGATCAGTTTCATGTCTGTTCAAATCAGGTTTTTGTTATCAAATCAATTTTGATGCCAAAGATATGAAAAATATTGGGTATTCACAGATTTATAAAGTTCAAATGTGATTTAGGGATTGTGTATTTGTGGGGCCTAATCACAATGTTTTGTTGTGATAATGTCTTCCAATGCTACCAACAGTATTCTTTTGTAGAAGTCCCATCATGAGGGAAGGAACTGGTCTTTTCATCTTCTGCCCTGGGCCTTGCCAGTGGGTGTAGGATTCCATAACCTTTTACTCACCTCTTTAGAAAAAGGACTTTTCACCTTTTAAGAATCTAGTAAAAGGTATGGGTCCTTCCTCCTAGAAAAGCTTATAAACACACATAGACACAAAAAACGCATAGAATTCCATGGAGTTCATTCCATGTCTTAAAAGAAGAATCTCTGCTCTGAGGCTGGGCACATTGGTTCACACCTATAATTCTAGGACTCTGGGAGGCCAAGGTGAATAGGATTACTTGAGCTCAGGAGTTCAAGACCAGCCTGAGGAAGAATGAGACCCCATCTCTATTAAAAACAGAAAAACCAGCCAGGTGTTGTCATGGGCACCTATAGTCCCAGCTACTTAGGACCTGAGACTAGAGGATCACTGGAACCCAAGAGTTTAAGGTTGCTGTGAGCTATAACGTAACAGGTTGTTATGTTGACAAAGACGGTTTCAAACCAAAAAAAAGAAAAAAAAAAGAATCTCTGCTCTGTAGCCAGGAAGAACAAATACTGTAGATGTTCCCAAGATGGCACAGAGGGTCCTGGACACGCCAGCCAATAGCAGACTGGGGGTGAAAGATGGTGAGTAAGCATGAGAGTGGTAAATGTGTCCCATATATAGGAGGCCCTTAATTATATTCCACCTGTTGATTTGAGGGTGCTCTGCTAGTCAAAGTAGAAAAGGGTTCTAGTTATTTCTATATAACAAATACTAAAAGCTCAAGACTGCCTACAATGAGAGGAAATAATTGCAGTTTGGGTAGAGGGCAGGGAGAAAGAGGATCAAAAATATCACTAACTCATTCCAATTTGGATGGTTAGGAGTTTATGGAGTTGGTACTTGTAAAATCCACAAGGAAATGACATTATCAACAGCCTTTTGAACCCTCTCTGTTTCAAAAGACTGTTTTTGCTAATATGCCTCACCAGACTCGGAGACCATCCTCTTGGGGTGTTGAAACAGGTATGTACATTTCATTGGTGATTCAAACTGTGATTCTTCAGCTGAGATGAAAGGCAAGAAGCCAGTGAAATCGAAGTATTGTGGTACTCTGTAACAAGGCCACCTGTTAACTAAAAATGGAACTCACCTCACTGGTAGGCTCCAGTAGGGTAAGCTGTGCAAGGACTAGGCTCTACATGTAAACCTTTCTGTTATTTTGTGACCATCTGAACTTCTCTATCTTAATTCCTTCTATAAAAGTTCATCTATAATATATATTTACAATGTGGAAAACAGTAAGATGAATAAGCACCCCTTCCAATACTAGTATATTAAAAAATAATGTCATTATAACCAGAAATTCAGTCTTGGTTGGAAAATTTTGCTTCTTACCTTTAGGCTGGGAGACTTTAGAAACATGCTTTTTCTTCTCCTTTTCTTTTGCCACAGGCTGCTTTAAATAATTTCTACTAATGGCTATTTCTGAACAATCTGAGATAAAGTCTTCTGAATAATCACGGTGAGAACTTAAGCTCCTGCAGGAACACTGAGATCTGCTATAATCGACACTCTTATCGGAATCATTACCGTTCGTTGAGAAATCAGCTGCGCCTGGGCTTCTCTCGAATTCTGCAGACTTCCTGCTGTTTTCTAAAGCCACGCTGGGGAAATGTTCATTGACGTTTGTGTTGGTTGGATCAGCCATAGTAAACAACCTAATAAAAAAAAGCACTTTTAAATTTATAGCTATTAATATTATAATGGATCTGTGCTTTATTGTATTTCTTTGACTATAAATAGAACATTTGGGATGTTAACAGCACGTTATTTTGAAATATTTTCTGGAATAATTTCAGTTTGGTTTTTATATAATTTCTATATAAAATATAAGATTGGCTGAGGCCAAACTTTGGTGAAGTTATTAATAATTATTGTTATATCAGATAACAATGAAAATAATTTATGGATTAGCAAATTACATTCTCCTTTTATTTATTTATGTTTGGCTGAATTCAGGGAACTTTATTGATGTTACATGACAAGGTGGGGCTCCCTAGGCCCCTCCTGTTCTTTAGGGGGTCTGGGGTAGAAACTGTGTTGAGGGGAGATTTTCAGTGAGGTGGGGGACTGAGTAGGCAGGGGCACCTCAGCAGCTAAGGGCCTTTCTCTTCCTCTTGTGCTCTGGCTGGGTCTTGTGGTCTGGGGGTTCTTACTCCTTGGAGGCCATGTGGGCCTTAAGATCCACCACCCTGTTGCTGTAGCCAAATTCATTATCATACCAGGCAATGAGTTTGACAATGTGGTCACTGAGGGCAATGCCAGCCCCAGCATCGAAGGTGGAAGAATGGGTGTCACTGTTGAAGTCAGAGGAGACGACATGGTGCTCGGTGTAACCTAGGATGCCCTTGAGGGGGCCCTCCCTGCTTCACCACCTTCTTGATATCATCGTATTTGGCAGCCTTCTCCAGATGGCAGGTGAGATCCACGACTGACACATTGACAATGGGGACATGGAAGGCCATACCAGTGAGCTTCCCATGCAGCTCAGGGATGACCTTGCCCACAGCCTTGGCTGCACCAGTTGAGGCAGGGATAATGTTCAGGAGAGCCCTGCGACCATCACTCCACAACTTCCCACCCACTCTTCTGGGTGGCAGTGATGGCATGGACTATGGTCATGAGTCTGTCCACAATGCCGAAGTTGTCATGGATGACCTTACCAGGGGGCTAAGCAGTTGGTGGTGCAGGAGCCATTGCTGACAATGCTGAGGCTTTTTTCGTACTTCTCGTGGTTCACACCCATCGCAAACATGGGGCATCAGCAGAAGGGGCAGAGATGATGACCCTTTTGGCATCCCCCTGTAGGTGAGCCCCAGCCTTCCATGGTGGTGAAGATGCCAGTGGACTCCACAACATACTCAGCACCTGCCTCACCCCATTTGATTTTGGTGGGATCTCGCTCCTGGAAGATGGTTATGGGATTTCCATTGATGACAAGCTTCCCCTTCTCAGCCTTGACTGTGCCATGGAATTTGCCATGGGTGGAATCATACTGGAACATGTAGACCATGTAATTGAGGTCAATGAAGGGGTCATTGATGGTGACAAAATCCACTTTGCCAGAGTTAAAAGCAGCCCTGGTGACCAGGCACCCAATACGACCAAAGCTGTTTATTCCGACCTTCACTTTCACTGCCTTGAGGATGCGGCTGGTGCTGCACTAGAAGTGGCTATGTGACGAATGGGAGGACCAGAGAGCCTATTTATTTATTTTTAATTTTAATTTTATTTTTAGAGACAGAGTTTTACTTTGTTGCCCTCAGTACAGTGCCATGGCATCACAGGTCGCAGCAACATCCAGCTCTTGGGCTTAGGCAATTCTCTTGCCTCAGCTTACCGAGTAGCTGGGACTACAGGCACCCTCCACAACAGCCGGCTATTTTTTTGTTGCAGTTTGGCCGGGGCCAGGTTTGAACCCACCACCCTCGGTAAATGGGGCCGGTGCCCTACTCACTGAGCCACAGGCATCACCCTACATTCTCGTTTTAGAGGCTGGTTATTTGTTGGGATTTTTTGCCTTGATTAGAAAATGATAGTATTGTATTTGGTAACTTTGGATGGCTGGTATTAAATGAACATTTGTTGCTGGGTGTGGTGGCTCAACCTGTAATCCTAGCATTCTAGGAGGCCAAGGCGGGTGGATTGCCCTGAGCTCACAGGTTCAAGACCAGCCTGAACAAGAGTGAGACACCGTCTCTAAAAATAGGTGGATGTGGTGCGGGGCGCCTGTAGTCCAAGCTACTTGGGAGGTTGAGATGAGAGGATGGCTTGAGCCCAAGAATTTGAGGTTGCTGTGAGCTATGCCACGGTACTCTACCAAGGGTGACAAAGTGAGACTCTGTCTCAAAAAAAAAAAGAAATGCAGTATTTGTGAAATTCAGACTTTATGGAGATACACGCTTTGATTTACTATTTATGACATCACATATTTTTTAGAATAAACATATAGAGTAGAATGTAATTACTAATCTCCTAGCTTTCTAGAGGTATCATTTCTTTTCTTTCTTTTTTTTGAAGTTAGAGTCTTAAGCTGTCACCCTGGATAGAGTGCCATGGTGTCATAGCTTACAACAACTTTAAACTGTTGGGCTTGAGTGATCCTCTTGCCTCAGCCTCCTGAGCAGCTTGGACTACAGGCGCCTGCCACAACACTCAGCTAATTTTTCTATTTTTAGTAGATACGGGGTCTCACTCTTGCTCAGCTGGTCTCCAACTCCTGAGCTCAAACAATCCACCCACCTTGGCCTCCCAGAGTGCTAGGATTACAAGTGTGAGCCACTAGGCCTGGCCAAACTAAGTACCATTTAAAGCAATGTAAACTCAGTAATTCTTCATTTGTAGATCAGGGATGTTTTAATTGGATGAATCACTCCCCAGAGCAACTCTCACAAATCCCTTCAGGATTCTATGTAGCTAAAATGCCTCTCCAGCTTTTTGTTCCTAAGCTCTTAACATTCAGTGAAAAAAAAAATCACATTTTACTTCTACTTTATTTTAAAATTATTTCATGCTCCACTAGGTTCAGTCCTTTGTCTAAGGACTGTCTTGTGGCAGAGATTGACAGCTCATAGTTAACATTCCCTAAGAATCTGTTAAATCTCACATGAAAGTTACATCCCTGAAGAATGATGAGTCCAGCTCTGAGACGGCTCAAGACTGCTGCTAACAACAGCTCTGTGCTACCCCTTATTCTTGATAATTTAGAAGGAGTGGATTTCAATGGATACAATCTTTTGATACTTTTGATAAGCCCTCTTATTTGTCTACAGTGATAATTTAAATGGAAGGAACGAGAAATCAAATACAAGAAGGATCCCAAATATATGCCCTCAATAAAATGAACTTGAGTCAGAAAGCAGAGGGTTCTTCATCCTCTATAATGCTGCTGCATTAAGATACAATCCAGAAGCTCTAAATTTTAGCAGCAGATTGAAACAAACAAATCCATTTCCTGGGGTCTTTAAAAGGATTGTTTTTTCATCAAATTCTCAATCCTTCAGTTTTATCAAGAAAGTAAAAGAGAAATTAGCTGGCATCAGATCCTTCCCAACAAGAACCTAACATCATCACTTTCTTTACTGAGAGGTTTTCTCCCCCCAAATCTGTTTCTGCACCTACTTAGTTCTTGAGCCTTCTCCTCTTATGATGAAATACATTAGGCAGTCTATAATCTCTCCACTCCAAATTACCATATTAATAACTAATAATAGCATTTTACTTAATATTTATGCATGTATTTGAGACAGAGTCTCACTCTGCTGCCCCGGGTATACTGCTGTGGCCTCACAGCAACCTCATACTCCTGGGCTCAAGTGATCCTCTTGCCTCAGCCTCCTGAGTAGCTGCTACTAAAGGTGCCACCACCATGCGTGGCTCTTTTTAGAGATGGGTACTCACTCTTGCTCAGGCTGGTCTTAAACTCTTAAGCTCAAGCAATCCAACCACCTCGGCCTCTCAGAGTGCTAGGATTACAAGCACGAGCCACTCAAGGAGCTAAGGAAATTTCACCACAAAATATGACTCCTTGGTATAAAGAATATTTTGAATGAAAGGCCATGTATGATCAGAAAGCATGGGAAGAGGCCTTTCCTCTATCTATATAAAATCTGAGTAACCTGATTGGGGATCAAAAGGGGCTGCTGACTTTCTTACTACATGCTAATAGACCTGGCCTCCAGGTCATTTGAGGCAGAATACCTGTCTTTCAGATTAATCTGCAAATCAATCTGTTTTCACCTATCTATACATTCCCCCGCCCCCCCAGCAGCAACCACTTACTGTACCTATACTTTCCACATCTCCCCCTCCTTCCAAAAGGCATCTATAGATGTCTCTGACCAGCATTGGGACTTTGGGTAATCATTCTTGTGGTTCCCCCCCATGCACATGGTATTTGGAAATAAACCTTTCTCTTATTAATCTACCATAATTGTGAGTTGATCTTTCAGTGAACCTTGATTAAGGCAAAAAGGCAGGTTTTGCCGTGATCCCTACACCACCGTGCCCGGTCTATACTTAATATTAATTTAGTGCTGTTACTTTGCTCAAACTGCTTTCCCATCACCTAATCCTCACCCCCTAGAGGGGAGGGGTTCAGACAGGTTAAAGGCTAGTAGTTGTCTATGGTTTCCAGCGCCACAGGCTGGAAAGTATTACAACTGCAGACAACACACTGGTGGGAACATTAAACAATCCTAAGGCAAAGGACTTCTCTTTCCAGACACATTCTGCTGTCTCAGTGGCAGAGGCAGAGTCAAAGATCCTGATTGCAAATCCCTGCATCTGGGTTAAGAATCCCAGAGCTGGTATCAAAGCCCGAAGGACTAAACGGGCTAACGTGCTGACTGGAGTCTCCAGGAGCTGTTCCTCTCTGATCCTGATAAATCCAAACTGCCCAAACAATGGTTGCTAATTCAAAAGAAGAATTTGGGATTTGGCCCGTTGTTCCCGACATGAGCTAAACTTCACTGACTTCTGCTAAAGCTCCTTCCCCTATCTTGGAGCACTCCTTTCAAGATGGCTCCTCCAGTTGGTGTTTTTTGGATAAAGGCTTGAGACTTTTTTTGTAACAGTGGAGGGAGTGTGATGGAGTAGAAGGTGACAGCTTGAAGACAGTCGGACTTGGGTTTGAACCTTGTCTGTCATCACTTAAGTGCTCTTGTCCTTGGGGGAGAAAGGAAAGAAACTTCTAATCTGAGGAATGCAAACCCCCTTTAAATTATCAGGGCCAGGGAGGCACTGGAATGTGTCACCTCCCCCTCCCCGGGAGCAAAGTAATCACCCGGAAGCTGCTTGTTAAGTTACGCAATCTCTCCGTGCCTCCTCCCCCAAGGCTAGGTAGCCCCACCCCTGAAGTTCATTCCAAAGCACCCTAACTCACCACAGCCCTCACCCTGCACTAGGGTAAGGGGTCTCTAGATGCCCAAGGCAGATCGCTGTTCCTTTCACTAAACCTGGCCTAACTTTCTCCTTTGCCCATCATCTCTGGGCACCACCCTTTACATCTTGCAAATGTCATCTTTTTGACGCCATAACTCACACCCTATAGTTCCACAAGTGGACAATTACTAATCAATGTTATTTCTGTAAACCAGTGAGCATTCCTGAAAAACAACTTTTGCAATGTCTGCCTCTCCTGATTTGGCCTTTTTTCTTTAAAAATTATGCCTCTCTTGTTCTCCAAAGCACTTCTCCAGAGCACCTCTCAAAACACCCTGGAATGTTTCCATGACTGCAGTCCTCAACCTTGGCCCAACTAAACTCCCTGGCTACATTAATTTGCCTCAGTTTCTTTCTTTAGATTATAGGGAGATTACAGGGAGAAATGAGATAGTGTTTAGTTTCCCCTCTCGCGAGAGTAATTCTGGCACAAAAGTAGGGATTGTCAAGACAGCCACACTGGTATCTTCCCATGAGAGATACAATCAAGTGCATCTTTCTGCTCGGCTACTTTACCAGGAACAACTGCTTGAATAATCCCATTATACTGAAAACCATGTCTTGTTTCTATGTAACTTCAGGTCTGGAGTACTGCTACCAAACAAGCAATACTTTCTTTTTTCTAGACAGAGTTTCACTCAGTTGCCCTGGGGTTGAGGCTGTGGAGTCATAGCTCACAGCAACCTCAAACTCTTGGATTCAAGTGATTCTCTTGCTTCAGCCTCCCAAGTAGCTGGGAGTACAGGCATCTGCCACAACACCCGGCTATTTTTTAGAGATGGGGTCTTGCTCTTTTTTTTTTTTTTTTTTGAGACAGAGTCTCACTGTATCGCCCTAGGTAGAGTGCTGTGGCATCACAGCTCACAGCAACTCTTGGGCTCTTGGGCTTCAAGTGATTCTCTTGCTTCAGCCTCCCAAGTAGCTGGGACCACAGGCGCCCACCACAATGCCCAGCTATTTTTTGGTTGCAGCTGTCATTGTTGCTTGGTGGGCCCGGGCTGGATTCAAACCCGCCACCTTTGGTGTACGTGGCTGGTGCCTTAGCCACTTGAGCCACAGGTGCCGAGCTGGGGGTCTTGCTCTTGCTCAGGCTGGTCTCGAACTCCTGAACTCAAGCAATGAACCAGCCTTGGTCTCCCAGAGTGCTGAGATTACAGGCAATCAATACTTTCAAATGCTTAACCACCACACGCCACCTGCTGTGGCAAGCACAGACACATTAGCTACTTTATCATGATGACCATGATATTGCTCCTGTGAAATAGCTATTAACTCTGTTTCGCAGATGAGGAACATAGGCTCAGAAAAGTTAAGGTAACTTGTTCAAGTCACAAAGCTAGTGAGTGGGAGAACTGAATTTTGAACCTTGAAATTTCTTTCCACTGTACCACATTTCTTGGCCCCAAACAGACACAGTTTGACCCCACCTCATTTGTCACTGAAAGCTTAAAATGTTAAATTATGGGGGCACCAGTAGCTCAGTGGTTAGGGTACCGGCCACATGCTCCAGGGCTGGTGGGTTCAAATCCAGCCTGGGCCTGCTAAACAAAAAATAATAGCTGGGTGCTGTGGTGGGCGCCTGTAGTCCCAGCTACTTGGAAGGCTAAGGCAAGAGGATCACTTGAGCGCCAGAGTCTGAAGTTGCTATGAGCTAAGAGGCCATGGCACTCTACTGAGGGTGACCAAGTGAGACTGTCTCATAAAAAAAAAAAAAGTTATATCAAAACCTGTGATAAGCCTATTGCTATTCAACTTTTTTTTTTTTCCATTTTTTGGCCAGGGCTGGTTTGTTCTTAAGTTGAATTTGTATGTAAAGTGGAAGAGGTACAGGTATGTATTACCTGTAAGAGTCTATATCTGTAAGTACGAGTCCTATGTCTGTCAGATATTTATAATTTGAGGATTTACTGTAGAAGCCTCCATTCCTAAGTGTGAGTTGTACAAAAGTCGGATGTTTGTAACTTGGGCACTGCCTGTACTCTAAAGTTCAAAATCCTAGACTATACTGAGAATCATCATTTAGCCCTTATCTTTCAGGTTGATCAATATAGCTCACTCTGCATTCGACATAATGGGAACAGTGGGATGAAGATAAGGAGGTGGGTGTGGCGTTCTCTTCCATTCCTCTGTCAGAACATTGAGCTCTGAGGCTGTGATTGTATCCACCTATGATTTGTTCCCCAAAGATTCTCTCTGAATCACACGCTTACAGAGGGCTAAAATAAGCTTGATTGCCCTATGTTTGATAAAGAACTAACCATCCTCGTCTCTTAGTTTAATAAAAATTGATGTAACAGGGAAAAGAGGAAAATATTCAATTAGAAATCCTATAGAGCCTCATAAGAATAAACAAGACTCTATAAATAACCTCACTCCTAAAACAATTCTACCAGATTAAAATGTACCCTAATGGAAGGCTTTATAGATTTAAGCAAGGGGGTGATTTAAAGGCATCATTGCCCTCCTTACATGGATTTGCCAGTCATAAGCTTCTCTGCTGATGGCTGAATTGTCTCATTAAGTACTGACTCCTATGAACCTCTGTATTTTTCAGGATCTTTAAAGCTAGGAGTCAGTAACTGTAGTTCTTCAAAATGTATGAAAAATCATATACGATTAAAAATGTTCTAACAGAAAGATACTTTATTAGCAAAATTATCTGCAATCTTTCCAACTCAATAATTTACTTAACCTAATGTTAGGGGTGCAGTTTCTTCAGGATGGACCCAAGTAGTTTCACTTTAAGGACAGCTGGGCGTTTATGTGGGATGCAGGGTAGAAAGTTCCTTACTACTACCCATTTTCTAGCGGATGTACTGTCAGCTTGCTTTCATCAAATTTCTACACATGGTACAGGGCAGTTATTCTACTATTATTATTATAAGCTAATCTGTCTCATGGAAAAATTAATCTGAAAAAAATCAGGTTAAGTGCTGTGTTTACTGATCTTCCACTGTCTTAGACTAAATAGGCACAAAATCAAAAACTGTAATTTCAATGTATATTCGAAGACATTGAATTTTCGGGTACTTAGTAAATGTAAAAGTTGTCATAAATGCTTTAGATAGCATATTTACATGCTATGTCCTTTTTTTTTTAAAACTGGAGAAGTGTCTTTATTGGCTGGGCAGCCTACTTGAGGGGGATGAAGTGGGAGGCGTGTGTGGCCCCAATGCCAGGCCGGCCATGCTTCGCAGGCTTGTAGGTGATGGAGAACTCCCCTAGGTAGTGACTGATCATCTCAGCCTTGATCTCTACCTGGCTGAAGGTCTGGCCATTGAAGGCGCCCACCATGCTGCCCACCATTTCAGGTAGGATGACTGTGTCCAGCAGGTGTGTCTTCATTACCTCTGGCTTCTCCTTGGGTGGTGCTTCCTTCTTGGCCTTATAGAAACACTTCAGCAGTGCGTGCTGCTTGCAGCTCAGGCCTTGGTTCAGCTGCTGCTGCTGGCGGGCACTGTATAGCCGCATCAGCTGCTCAGAGGACATATCAGCCACTATATAGCTGCATCAGCTGCTCAGAGGACATATCCAGCGACTGGTGGAGGTCCACACCACAGTAGGTGAACTTGTGGAAGGTCCATTTCTTCTTTTGCTCCACTTCTGCCATCTTGTTGCCTTCCCAGAAAAGACCGGTGCTATCTTCTTTTGAAATACTATATTTACAACTTGGTAAGGTCAATATAGCACCTGGGTGGCCCAGGGATTTATCAGAACTTTAATTGTGCTCAATATTAATGGCATAATCTTTGACAGGAGGAGGTCACAGGAAAACTATCAAACTATTTTAAAAAGCCCCTCTTTTACTGAGGCATAACATTTAATAAACCACATATTTTTAAAGTGTATAATTTCATAAGATTATAAATGTGCATAGCCATGAAACTATCACATTTTAAGAAAGGAAAAAACTGCATTAAAATTGTAATACTTAAGTTATGTTTGGCTTCTGCAATTACAAGTGATATAAGATATAATATAAGCTGGGCATGGTAGCTCACACATGTAATCCTAGCAGTCTGGGAGGCTGAGGCAGGTAGATTGCCAGAGTTCAGGAGTATGAGACCAGTCTCTAAAAATAGCTGGATGTTGTGCTGGGCACCTGTAATCCCAGCTACTTGGGAGGCTGAGGTGAAAGGTCTGCTCCAGCCCAAGAGTTTGAGGTTGAACTATGATGCCATCGCACTCTACCCAGGGCCACAAAGTGAGACTGTGTCTCAAAAAACAAACAAACAAACAAACAAAAAACAATATACAAGATAACACAACAAATGTTATTGGTATATGTTAGGTATTACAATTTTTATACAGTTTTTTTCTTGCTTAGACTATGTATACTATTTTTTGTATCTTCTATAGATGATTATGTCATCTCTGAATAGAGTTTAATTCTCTTTTTCTAATTTGGACCCTTTTATTTCTTTTTCTTCCCTGATTACATGGGCCAGAGTCTCCAGTGCAAATTTGAATAGACGTGGTGGTGAAAGTAGATGTCCTTGTCTTGTACTGAATCTTAGGGGAATATTCAGTCTTTCATCATTACATAGGATGTTAGCTACAGGTTTTTCACAGATGCCCCTCATCAAGCTGAGGAAGTTTCCTTGTATTCATTATTTATCTAGAGAAGTAAGGTAAATCATGGGGAAAATGGGAAGAGAGGGGATATCAAGAGAGAGGGGATAGATAAAAGGAGAAGAAGAAGAGAAAGGAAATGAAGTAAGTCACTGGGGTACCTGCTGAAGACCTGGGGAGTATCCCTTGGAAAACCCTTTTTCTAACCAGGCTGAGGCAGGCAACATCCCCATTGTACAGTAGGAGCAGGAGCGACACGCCAGAACAGACAAATGCTTTACTTTCCCAAACCAATTCTGTTTTTGAATCTTTCCATAAGAACCAGTTAGAGCTCCCTTAGACTCAGTCTGTACTGTGTTTGAGTTTAGGAAAAGGGTGATCAGGCAGTATCTGGAAAACTAAAAAGTCTCCTAGCTGAAATTGAGAGTGTTATAAATTAAACTGGCACATCTTAAATTCTAGAGTTTATCTGAGCAAACATGAATTCATGAATCAGGTAGCACCCAACTGTGGTTTGTGGTTTGTGGTTTGTGGCTATGCCAGAAAAGGCTTTTATAAAGTAAATGAGGGAGCAGACTAAAGAAAATAATTGATCGGCCAATTATGTAGTGTAAAGTTCCTAGTTATATAATTAGAAGTTAATGTTTTTTAATTATTTAAATTTAGTTTCATTTGAGTTAGGTTTCAGTTTGCTTACTGGTCTGAGGACTCATTCCTCCCTAGCTGCTGGCTGGACACCTTTCTTGCAGCAGGTGCCTCTCAATGAATCAGTTGATATTGTAGCTGCTGACCTCCATCAGTGCCAACAAGTGAGAAAAATAGAGGGTGATTAAAGCAGGAGTCAGAGTCTTCCAGTTACCCAATCTGGGAAGTGACATCTGAATCCCACCCAAAGGCAGGGAATTAGCCACTTCAGTCTAATGGCCTCCTATCTAATTATTTTAACAAGAGGCAGCCATAGCACCCTCACTGTCAATGACTGGATGGTGAGGATCACCTAACTGCAAACTAACTCAGGTTCCTCTAACTCAGTTGGGGAAACAATTAAGAGAGTCCTCCTACATATAGTCACTTTTCTTTCCCTAAAGAGTACTGGAGCACCCCAGTGCCTCCAGTGATAAGAAGAGAATCACTCCCTAAGCCATTTCTGAGGCTGCCTCTGGAATGCATGGGGTGTGGTAGGAAGCTTCCAAGATGGTTCCCAGTGACCTTCACTTCCTGGGTCTCATGCCCTTGTTTAATTCCCTGCCTTTGTGAGAGAGGGAATCCTGCCAACAATCATTTGTGTGAGCTTGGAAGTTTGGATCTTTCCTCTGGATGAGTTCTGAGATGACTACAGCCCCCAATAATACCTTGATTACAATCTTTTTTTTTTTTTTTT